ATGCGAGTTATGTATATTGCCTGGTGAAGAGTTCTATCATGTGAGTTATGTATATTGCCTGGTGAAGAGTTCTATCATGTGAGTTATGTATATTGCCTGGTGAAGAGTTCTATCATGTGAGTTATGTATATTGCCTAGTGAAGAGTTCTATCATGTGAGTTATGTATATTGCCTAGTGAAGAGTTCTGTCATGTGAGTTATGTATATCACTTAGTGAAGAGTATTTTAAAGTGAGTTATGTATATCATTTAGTGAAGGGTACTTTCATGTGAGTTATGTATATCACTTAGTGAAGAGTATTTTAAAGTGAGTTATGTATATCATCTGATGAAGAGAAGTTGGTATTACTTGAAAGCTTGTGGTTCAAATGAATCTCAATGTATATGTGAAATATTAGTCTGAATACTTTTTAAAACTGATAACAGCCAGAACATAGCATGATGAATCATGTGACAGTATTATAAAAATATAATTCCTTGCTTATCAACAAAGCCTAATTTCTCCCAAATTACTGTGAAATTATTGTTAAGGTTTGTTAAAAAGTCAGTATATGAGTATGTGGATTAAGCTATAAAGTGAGCTAACATACAGATGAATTATTCTACACATGTGTAAGGATTTGTGGGAGTGTATTCCACTCATTTATGGAAATGGTGCTAGAGGGCGGCACTGTAGCAACTGTTGAACACTATTATTATCATTTTCAAGTATTATGTTCATCCTGACAATGGTATTGGATATTCTAGGGATGACATCTTACAAGTAAATATGAAAATCCAGTCCTGTTTGTTTGATATATGGTTGAAGGAGCATGTGTAGTTGCATGCTCAAATCTAATTACGTGTGCTATTTGTCACACACGTGAAAAGCTGTATTCAGTCATGTCACATTACAGTTTTCAATACTCCTGAGGAAAGCGGAAATGTGTTATCTATGAAAATGCATTAAGCAGCATAGTAACAAATCTTTAGTTTGTTGTGATTGTTCATGAAGCAAACAGAGATGATGGCAGCTAAAGACAATAAAACAATAACTATTTCAAGGTTTTGGAAAATAAAAGATCATTGGTTACAAAATCGTAGAAGAAAAAGGGAGAATATATATGCACTTAATCTGCTGTAAAGTCTGTGCCAAATAAAAGGATGCCAGTGATAAAAAGAAGCATTGATATCTGCTAGAGTTCTTATTAATTTCAATAATGTGGTCACTGAGCATCAAGAGAGTAGTGTATATATCTCTTGAGAAGTGGAGAAAAATAAATAATAGAACCATTAGAAAAGTTGTGATTTTGGAATCTGAAGAGGAAAGAGATTGTTGCCAGGAAGTTTATGCTGTTCAGCTCAGAGGATTCTGATGAGGATCTTGTAGAACGTGAAGAAGAAAGTCAAAATTTAAATGAAGTTTTTGAACATGGTAGTGTTGTGTAGTTTCTTCTCTTTTATAGTTTTGTTAAATTGAAAACTCTGCTAATACGATGCCGTATTTGTAACATTAAAGAGTGTTAGATATACATGACTGTTTCAATTTAAGTTCAGAGCAAATGTGTTAAATTTAGCTATGTTTAGAAGCAATATTATATCGCAGGTTTGTTAATGCAACTGTATTTGAATCGTATGTTGTGTAGTTCAGTTGTTGTGAATTGAATTATTGCATCATGTTGTTAGCACCTTCTACATTTGTATATATACATTTGACTTGTTTTAATATATTATTTTAAAACAATTAGACTGTGTGCTGTTTGTTTATTGTTGGAAATTATTGCCAACAAGTCATAGACATGTACTGTAAAAAATCTGGCCCATACACAAAACCTGCCATTGGAGAGCCAGCGAGAATTATACAGTGGTAAATGGCAATAGAAGAAGACATGAAAGACAGTGAAAGAAAGTAGGCCTATATAAACCCAGGTGTAGTGGTAGCGAAAATATTGTAGAGGTTACAACCACACTATATAACCATGTTGACTTTGATAAATGGATAAAGATGGCCGAGTGACTTGGGCTCAGAGATGGCAATCTACGAGAGTTTGTTAAACAACAACAAGACCTAGAGAGAGAGAAGCGAGGAAGAAAGAGAGAAAGATAAAAAGGAGAGAGAGGAGAGACTGGAAATACTGAGAATAAGAGCACAAATTGAGGTCACTAAGCTCATTCAACAGAAAGATGAAGGACCCAATAATGACAATGGGGTCAGGGCAAGCTGACCAAAGCTGCCAAAATTTGATGAACAGAAAGATGACATGGATGCTTTTCTGGAAAGGTAAGAAAGATTTGTCCAAAAGATTTGGGACAAAGGCAACTGGGCAGTTTGTCTCAGCCCCCTTCTCAGAAGATGCCATGGATTATGACAAGTTAAATGTGGCCTTGCTGAAACTCTGATTACATTTATAGCAATCAAATCTGACACTGAAGAAACTGTATTTCAGTTTGTGGCACATTTACGGCAATATTTCACAAGGTGGACTGGTATGGCCAAGTGTGAAGGTAGTTTTGATGGACTGGCATGAACAGTTCATGATCACGTACTCTACTGACAATTCACTGTTCCTAAAAGAGAGAGCACTGAAAAATGTAGACGAAATGATCAAGCTGGCAGAACAGCATATGGAAGCCCATGGAGGGAGTATTACTGGTAAGTCCAAGAATAACCAGTTAAAGTTGAAACCAGGAGTGGCTGACCAGAAGTAGGATGCCATCGAAGGTGACAAGAGGTTAACAGACAAAGGGAAGAAGAGATGCTATGCTTGTTATAAGATATGGCACATTTTGAGTGAGTGAAAGTTTATCACCAACAAGCAACAGCAGAAATCTCAACATAATAGTACTGGAACTACCTACAAAGATGGTGCTAGCAAGAAACAAGAAAAGAGTATCTGTCACCATGGCTGCTGCTGCCAGGAGAAACATAATAGAGACAACTCATAAGACTCACTAGAAGAATGAAGGTCTATCATCATGATTAAACAGTGCATGATTGATGATCATCTCAAATTAGCAAATGGGTCAACATTGCCAGTAGTAGTTGGAGCATGCAACAAACTACAATGTGCCAGTAGGTGAAGGCTATGTCAGGGACAAGAAAGTGAAGATCCTATGAGACACTGAGTGCAGCAGTGAGAACCAGTCTTGCATCTGATGGCCAGATGTTAAGCAGAGTACATTTGTGTGTGCTGATTGATGGGACAGTGAGGAAGTAAATATTAAAAAACACAGTTAAACATCGATTTTTGTGTGTCACGTGGTATGTTGAATGCAGCACTGGTTCAAATTAGAAGTTTGTGATGTCAAAATACTAAGTCTGTAGTTTCCTACAAATTAGGAACTCAAATTACTGATATTGACAAGCTAAAATTTAAAATAAGAACCTTATATCTTTTCTATTTGCTGAGATATCATTCATGTAGTGAATCCAACACAATGGCTCCACTCACCTCTTTCCATTTTTGGAAACGTTCCCTTATATACACTTACTTCAATATATGACATGTGAATAACCAACTGAAAGCCCAGAATTCCCCCCCTAGTAGCTTTCTTAGCCGTTTTCATGTGTTAAGATGTCATCTCGTACTTTGGACCCAAGATTTTAGGAAGGTAGG